TTGGCTTGGTTAAAATTCAACAGCAGGGATTTTGTCGACCCATGGACGTTAATGTCAAATGGACCCGTGTATTTACTACTCTAAAAAATTAAATTTAATAATCGCGATTTATGTTGACGACTTTTTAATCTTTTATTCAAATGAAGGTGACTTGTTGAAAATGAAACAGATGTTGAGCAACACGTATAAGATGAAAGACATGGGATTGGCTAAGGGCTGCATAGGAATTCGCATTGCACAAACAGATGGTAAAATTCAATTGGACCAATCAGTTTACATTGAAGAAATCCTGAAGCGATTCGGTATGTTTGAATCAAAGCCGATCAATATGCCAAGCGATACCAACATCAAACTATTACTAAACATGCCAACGGATGAAATCGACGAAGAAGAGTTAGCAAAAATACCATATCAAGAGGCAGTGGGTTCGCTGCTTTACCTTGCACAGGGAACGCGTCCCGACATTGCGTATTCTGTTAACGACGTGAGCCGTTTCAATTCGAATTACACAATGGCGCATTGGAAAGGCGTTAAGTGCATATTCAGATATTTGAAGGGAACCACTAATTATAAACTCTGTTTTTCTCTCGATAAAGGAAAGATTTGTGGTTACAGTGATGCAGATTGGGCATCAGACATTGATAAGCGTCGATCTTGTACAGGGTACATCTTTAAATTATCCAACGCTGCCATTACATGGAAAAGTACCAGACAAAACACGGTAGCTCTGTCTTCAACTGAGGCGGAGTACATGGCTTTGTCATCGGCAGTTCAAGAGGCGATCTGGTTACAACAATTGTGCAACGAAGTTGGTTATAACACAAATGAACCAATAACTTTGAACTGTGACAATCAAAGCGCAATTCTTCTGGCACAAACGGATGGATATCGCCAACGGTCAAAGCATATTGACATAAGATTCCATCACATTCGAGAAAAAATCAAAAACAAGCAAATTAATATTCAATACCTAAATACAAATGAAATGGTGGCTGACTCACTCACGAAAGCGGTGACGAAAGAAAAAACAAAATTTTGTGCCAGTTCAATGGGACTGTTAGCTGACTAAACAAAGCAATTTTTTTTTTGTACTGGTCATTGAATATCGATTTGCACATGCAAGCATTTATGCTTCTATATTTAGGTCACTTAGTTTTTTTTTCTTTATATTTTTGGCATAAACATTGAAAATTTTAAAAGTAGATTATTGCAAATAAGTAAAGCCCTAGCGTTCATAAATAATTAAAATCAATTGAGCTACTGAAGTCAACCAAAACGGTCAATTTAATTCAGAAAAATCAATCAGACTCGAAGTAAATTCATTTCACAAAGATAATTATTTTTTCAAATCAAAACAGTAAAATCGATCAAATTCAAAGTAGATTAAATTATCCTGCTCAAACTTCAATCAGTGAAATCAATCAGATTCAAAGTAAATACAATTACTTTTCTAAAATTTAAATCAGTGAAATCAATCAGATTCAATCTTTTGTTCCATTTTTTTGTATTATTATCAATCAGTTAAGATGGGAAGTGGTGAATCCAAGACGCAAAAAGTTGTAGATACAACCGGGGCAGTGAACAACAATGTGGTGGTGACCGCAGACCACACGATGGAGAAGACTCAAATTTTATTGTTAATACTTTGTGTCTTAAAAACCATTGAGTTCATCTATTTTGTATACATAAGTCATCAGCGTAGATTAAAGAAAAAATACGCTGCAAACGCAAATGTAAACCCAAATAACAACGGGGGACCAGCGTAAAAATTTACTGATAAAATAAAATTGTAAACGTAATGCTTAAGTTTTTTGAATCTTTGTTAAAATCCAAAAAAGTGAGGGTGTTGAAAAAGCATATATTAAAGAACTACAGTTAGTTACAATTTGTCATCAGAATAGAACACACGTCTTTTATTTCTGCTGCTCTTTTATAATATCACACAATTATTGATCATTCCGGATCAGGAAGCCTTTTATATTCATAAATTTGTGTTCAGAAGTGAATGGTTTTGAAAATCAGGATTTTTGAAAACTTTCAATGAAATTTCGTTCCATGGTGAAGGATCCAAATCCAAATTTTTCCCATTTTTGATACTTCGCCGTTGAGCCGTGACATCTGAATTTATATTTTTTTCGAAAAAAACGCCTGACTCGTGATCAGGGGATCCCATAGCCAAGGTTATTACCCTCGCCGTTGAAATGTTTGAAAAATGCTACACCCTACTAGATGATGAAAATTATTTGATTATATGTTAAAATCATATAATATATGTTGTATAATATATGTTGAATAAAGTGACGTGAGCTGTCACGTCTGCATGTTTTTTTTCTTCGCTCTCTATTTGGATACTTTAATTTTGCTTAATTTTAATCGAAATCACATTAAAAAAAACAGGAAAAATTATTGAAAGAATTATTATTGAATTGTGTACAAGAAAAACATCAAGTTTAAATGATTTGAAGTAAATTAAAGAAAAGAAGAGGAAGAAAACGAATGAAATAAAGAGGCTTACGTACGCAAGCTGACTTTTCCGCATGGAACCGAAATTTTGGGAATAAACTGAAATTATGGTCTATGTATGGTTGCAGTAACTTAAATTACCGTGAAACCTTGTGAATATTGTTTTCTTATTAAAATAAATAATCACACCAAGTTTAAAGAAATTTCAATCAAAAAAATAGTCTGTTCAAAGTTTCACATCATTACGGTACCACAAAGGCAAGTCTTTCATACAAAAATGAAATTTTGTGTGGATTTTTGTATGAAAAGTCTGTGAAAAATTGATTGCATCTTAAAAATAACATAAGATTCGGGTTTCTCGTGCCAAAAAACCCCCCACTACACATTGTTTCAGCGTTCAAATTGAAAGAATATCATTTTAAGGCATTTTTCTCATAAGTGCCTCTTCAGAGTCTAAGTTTTACACCGATCAATCAATGTCATTGAAAATTTGACCAGATCTATTCCTCGTAATGCCCAATCATCCCGTAAAGTCAGATTTTGAATTTCATGTCTGAGCACGAAACCATCGTGTCACCAAAATGGTTGAAAAATGATCAAAAAAGTAAAATGTATGGATTGTGGGTACTTCATTCGGACCAAAAAAAATTACACCAGTCAACAGATATTGCTCAAAAACTAATCAGCACGTCTCCTAGTAGTCCCAAATCATCCTACAAAGTCAGAATTTGAATTGAGTTTTTGAAAGAAGATTTATCGAGTTAACAAATTTTGGCAACACGCCACAGGACACAGGACACAGGACACA